GCCATGGTTAAGCACGATTTACTTTGACGAATAAGTCCATCTTGATGGTTTTCTAGATAAACCCTACTGAAAACAAAGATTCACCAAAACTCATGGAATTTGTTAGTTTAAACCCCTAAACCTATATTGGTGATCATTTTTATGTATTTATACAAGTTATGTTGATGGTTTGTGATTGATGTTAACGACCGTCAACACATGTGTCACAGCTCAAGAAACATGTGCCAAAGGATGTGTTAGTATCTGAAGATTTGACCTCCGTCAGTACAGACCCTATGCAAGTGCAGCAGCCAGAGAAGATTCTTCAGTCCAGAATGGTGAAGAGGGGAGCCAAGATGATCAAACAGGTGTTTGTGCAGTGGACCTCCATGCCACCAGAGATGGCCACCTGGGAAGATGAAGCGGATGTGCCTCGAGATCAAGTTTAGGCCTCAGTCGACTGAGGACAGTCTCATGCTTAAGGGGGAGGGAATGTCAGGGACTGACAAGTGGGACCACTGGCGAGTATGATGGTGTACTATTGCTCATCTAGCAGGTGGTTGGGAAGTTGGCGCTGTTGCCCGTCTGGCAACAACGGGCGGGCGTCAGCTACATAAGCTGAAGCATCAGAAGAACATTGGCAATGATTTGAAACAAAACAATCAATAGGAGTAGAAGTAGTCTAGCGGTTCATCTGCTCCTGTACCCTAAACTCTGTTACATTTCGCAATAGAGTCGCCCGAATTCGCCCCAAATCCACCAAACCGTAGCTAGAACATCACACCCGAGCTCACACTAGCCATGCCGCTCGCACGCCCCCGTCATGTATGTCGCCGTCGTCAGGAAGAGAGAGACTCATCAACGGCCAGCAAGATAAGAACCACCTGGAGCTCAAAACGGTAAAAACGTATATGGAGAGAGAACGGTTCAGCCAGACAGAGAAAGATAGTACTACTACTCAGCGTATAGATGAATTAAAAAGTAATATACCAAATGACTAGTTAAAAGCATCTAAATATTGTGTTAGGATGCATCAATCGATATAATTAGTGCTTATGGACACACATGGCGATCAAGGCTATTCCTGCAATCCAAACACCTCAAAGTATTTATTCATGTGTTTTGGAATCCTGTAGTTTTTCACTTTTCAATCTATCCTATTCCTGCATTTTTTTCTTTCCTCTATTTTGCATTCCTGTGTTCCAAAAAGGCCCTAAGATGTCTATCTGCATTATGGAGCAGGTGCCTAACCGCGGGTATTGGTCGTACACGACACTAATAGGCGGCAACGGTGGGTAGGGTAGTAGTACTGGCTGTAAGCTATTCAGCGACAGGTCCGGCTGTTTCTCATCCTTCTTCTTGTCCTCGCCGACCTCCTTGAGTTGCGTGCCACGGTGCCGCCCACATCTTACACAGGTTGCTGGTGATGTTGATGGAGTCGACGCCCTCGCCAACGATGACAACCTGGTCCTTGCCATCGCCGGTGATCACCATGGAGTCAACCCTGCCCATGGCCGCCACCAGCGCCATGGCCTTGGACTGGCATGTCTCGGTGTCGGCATGGAAGCAAGCATCGCCCGCTCTGGATTGAATTAACTCAAACAACAAAGAGCAGGACGCTGGAGAGCCTGTAGGTTGTGGATGGATTAGTGTTTTGGGCGTTGGTTTTTGTAGGCGAAGTGATCTCATCGGTGGACAGAGTTGGAGGTAGAAATAAATAAAAAGTCTCTTTTCTTGAGGTCAACTATGGGGGATCAAACCGATCCCCACCTGATTTTCATTTCCATAGATTCTGGCAAGCCGGTGGGTGGAAAGGTGCAAAGCACCTAATACAGGGGGTCAACCTTGAAGGTCAAAGAAGTGTACATAAAAGAGGGAGAGAGAGGGATTACAATAATACTTAATAGAAATAACAACAACAACAACAATACAACAACAAGGGTAATCGTAGACACAAGCCGAAAGACGCCAACCGATCGTCGATTTGCACCACCGCCAAACAGCATACTCGTCGGTTTCGCCGTGGCCATTGTGCCCTGCACCACTCCTCGTAGCTACACCGCTCCGCTGCCTCCCTCCATCTGAGGACTAACCAGTGGAATGGGGACTAAGAGTGGTGACGGACACACAAGCCCAAGATCACCAGACATGGCGACCTCCCTTGAAACTGATGGCGACACCTACAACACTTCCGGGCCCATGTACCACCATTCAACGCCGTCCATGGGGAGGAAACCTTGGAGGGGAATGGCGGCAACGGTGGAAACACCACCCGACATTAGATTTTCTAGCACCATCAAGGAGAGCGCCAACGGAGCAGAGACGCTAGAGGAGGACACTCGTTGAAAATCGGCAACGATCGACAGCCAGGGCCAGTCTCACCCAAGAGGGGAGCAAGGAGCAGAGAGGCACACACCAAGAAAGGAAAGGGATAGGAGAGGGGTGGAGAGGATAGGGAGAGTTCAAAGAGGCATCGAGGACATAGATGGCCGCAGGTAACGATGCCTTCAACAAGGAAAGTGACATCCATAGACGCCACCATCGTAGGCCGAAGCAAGGGGGGCTTTCACCTAGAGATGCAGCTCTGTCGAGCAGGTAGCAGTAGCAGAATCTTCAACGACGCCTCCAGGGAGGGGCATGACACTAGGTGCGCCATCGTCGCCGGACCGGAGCAAAGGCGGATAAGGCTTTCGCCCAGATTGCATACCAACCTGGCACGTCGGACTTGGACGGCCACCACCAGTAGCTGCAACAGGCCACACATTAGCTGCACCCAAGCGACGAGTACCATGACGCGCTCAGCATCGTGCTCTGCACCGCAGCAAGAGCCACGGGCCATCAGCGCCGAGCATATCTCCTGTGTGACGAGGAAGTTCGCAGGCTTGATGTCGCGGAGGATGACGCGATGGGCATGGAGGTGCGCCTGACCGGCCAGCACCCGAGCCTTAACGAAGAATTTGTGAGCCGCCTCTAGGTGAGCCGCGCGCACCTCCATGGGCTACCATGCCGCGCGACCGCGTCGGCAGCCGCATATCTCGGCCGTGTTAGCCACGATGCGCGTAGCACGAAGCACGTGGCTGAGCAGGCATGCCCTCAGGTGCCGCCGCGGTGGCTTCAACGAACCACGGGCACCGGAGCGTGTCCACAGCGGTGAGGCGCCTATTCGGCCTGCACCCCAGCAGTTCGGCCAAGATGCCGAACTCAGCAACCGACAGAGCCGGGAATAGTTCCCGAAGCCTACTGGTTGGTCTGCTTCGCCTGCAGAGCGGTGACCCGGCGCGTGGCAGGCGAGCGAAGCCCGGCCACGACGCCAGGTCCTGCACCCCTAGCATGATGAACACCCTATTGAGCTAGTCCATCTTCGACCTCCTAGGGAACAGCGGCGCGCCACCGGCAAGGAGCTCAGCTATGATGCAGCCGAGCGCCCACGTGTCGACGCCCGCGTCGTAGTCCCCGGAGCGTCGCCAACCCCAGCATGTACGACGCGCCGCTGTTATCCGCCGCGCATGACAGCCCGAAGTGGCAGATCTTAGACGCCACCACGACCGTTGTCAGGCTTGAGGTCCCGGTGCAGGAGGCTGCGCGCATCGCGGCCACGCCCTCCAGGAGTCGCCGCATCACACGGCGTGCCTCGGCCTCCGGGAACGGCCGCCGCTCGGAGCGGTGGTCTTGCTGCTGTATGCATGGCCTCCGCTAGGCTCCGCGCCCGGGCCTGTCAGCGCTCCTGTCGGCAGCCGCTCGCCGGATCCGGGGTGGAGGTCGATGGATCCGGGTCCAGGGTACTCGGATCCGGTGCCTGAAGGTCGCCGCCAGCCATCCTTGGTGTCGAGAATTCAGATTTTGAATGGGGAAGAGCAGGGGAGGAGAGGAAGGAGAGCTGTAGGCTGCTGCGGTGTGGCCTTTTTTAGCGCTGCAGCGGGCCGCTGCCACCGCTAGCCGGAGAGCGGTGGCGGCGGCAGAGGAGGTGGCACGGTGGTGAGCGGTCTGGCGGCGGCGGTGGAATCGCCCCCGAGTCGCCCCTGTACAGACGCGGACGAGGGGGGGGCGCGTGACTGTCTTGTGCCTGCACTGAACATATTGCCATGTTCGCTTGGCTTATAAGTCGTACTTTTTCAGTCAACGAACAATATTTTTTTCTCATAATAAATCAGCCAACAGTACTTTCAGCCATGGTTTATCAGCCAAGCGAATATGACAATAACAACCGAAGAATTGATGAAGGGATGGAGGAGAACTGAAGAGATAGGAGGGTGGAACGAAGAGACAGCTACGTGGACAGACGCTACCTCTATGGTGACGTGCCTTCACAGATTTGCAGGAAAATCAGCTAGTGGCATTCTCCTATTTAGTTATAGAAGATAGAAGATAACAAAAGAGCTGCTGACCTGTACACTACTACTACTTGCGTTGGTGGAGCATGTTATCATGCATCGCTTAAACAAAGTGCCTCTCGGGATCGCATGGATTATTCCAAGAAAACATGCATATACTCCCATTTGCACAGTCGTCAGGCGGGTAATCACTACTGCCATTCTGCCACCATATGTATCATACATATATATGTGCCTTTTGTTACAATTAAATAAATATATCATATATGCAGTATGCTTGATGCCTTGATCAATCGATCGAGTCAATGATGCAGGCTGCTGATGGCCTGCAGCTAATAATTAAGTCAACCATTCCGGGCTGTGCGCTGCCACTGCCTGGATCGGAGCTCACTCACGTACTCGCCAGTCGCCATGTTCTCTTCGAGTTGACTTGGACGTCTCGTAACATGCATGCGCTCCAGAAACAGAAACAGAAACAGAAACATTCATTCCTGCAGCTGGTTACGAACACACTCCACTCCAAGCTGAAGCTACAAGTAGACATGAAAGACATTAACGGCCAGCAGCAGCAGGGCACTCCTCATTCCATGCATCGAGCTTATCTTGCATCTTCTTGTTCTAGTTTAGCATATATATACTTCAGTACACAGTAGCTAGCTAGCTAGTGAAGGCAGCAGGAGCAAAGCAAGGATGATTGCCGCTAAGCTCGCCGTTGTCGCAGTGCTCGCGCTGCTTGGTTCTGCATCATGCCGCCAAGCAGGTTTCCGCAACGGTAATGGTGGCCGTGGCGGCAATCCCATTCCCATCACACAACCACACAATAATGACCCTCCGGCCACGACACCAAAACCGAAGCCGCCAGCTTATCCGGATCGTCCGGCCACCCCACACCCACAGCCACCCTCTTACCCTCCGGCCACTCCGCCGCCACCCACCTATCCTCCGAAGACAAGCCCAAGTCCGCCGCCGCCCACGCCCACCTATCCTCAGACGAGCCCAAGCCAGCCGCTGCCCACGCCCAGCTATCCTCCAACGAGTCCAAGCCCACCGCCGCCAACGCCCAACTATCCTCCGATGAGCCCAAGCCCGTCTCCATCCACGCCGCCGCCGCCGCCGTCCCCGCCTCGGCCCAGCTCAGATGATGCTGGGAAGAAGCTCAAGGTTGGATACTACGAGAACAAGTGCGACCGTTCCGTGGATGTGGAGGCCATCGTGAGGAAGCACGTCAGTGGCTTCGACGATGGCATCAAAGCAGGGCTCATCCGCCTTTTCTTCCACGACTGCTTCGTCCGTGTAAGTCTTATTAAGACCTCGATCACGCTTGCCATTTACTGCAATCACTACGTATATTATTATTAGTAGCACTGTGATGTGATACATGGCGGGTTCAGGGTTGCGACGCCTCCGTTCTGCTAGACCCGACCAGCACCAACCAGCAGCCGGAGAAGTTCGGCATACCCAACTTCCCGAGCCTGCGCGGCTACGAGGTGATCGACGCGGCGAAAGACGAGCTCGAGAAGGCATGCCCCGGCAAGGTCTCGTGCTCGGACATCGTCGCCTTCGCCGCCCGCGACGCGACCTACTTCCTCAGTGGCGGCCGCATCAGCTTCGACATGCCCGCCGGCCGCTACGACGGCAACGTGTCCCTCGCCAGCGAGACCCTGCCGAACCTGCCCCCGCCGTTCGCCGGCTTCGACCAGCTCGTCAAGATGTTCGCCGACAAGGGGCTCGACGCCTTTGACATGGTGACGCTCTCCGGCGCGCACAGCATCGGACGCTCCCACTGCTCGTCCTTCAGCAGGGACCGCCTCCCGCCTAGCAACACCTCGGACATGGACTCGGCGTTCGCCGCCAAGCTGCAGGCGAGCTGCGCGTCGGCCAATGGCACCGACAACACGGTGGTGCAGGACTACAAGACCCCCGATGACCTGGATAACCAGTACTACCAGAACGTGCTGGACCGCAAGGTTCTCTTCACGTCCGACGCTGCGCTCACCTCGGACGACATGGCCAACTACCTGGTGCGTGTCTACGCGATCTTCCCATGGTTGTGGCAGGACAAGTTCGCGGAAGTCATGGTGAAGATGGGCCGCATCGAGATCAAGACGGACACCACCGGGGAAATCAGGAAGAGGTGCCGCGTGGTCAACAGCAAACCATGATCTGATGACCGGTCGTGCTAGTGCCTCCTCATCAAACTCTGATGCCTCACATGATGGAAAATAATTAATCTAATTAACTTCTACGTATACTAATCAATGCATCACGCACATTAGATCAAAGGGGTTAATTGCACACGGGAGACAGATGTGTGTGGAGAGTTTTATTGCTTGTGCACCATATATATAGGGTTACAAGGGCGTTGATCTGGTCGATCTAGGTGTGTTTGGTGTGTCTAAGATGTTACCCATTAGAGATCCCTTACCACTCCTTATATATATAGTCCAGGGATAGGTAAGGTTATATAGATAGAGTCTCAGCCTCATTGGTTTACACAAGTCCGTTTCCATCCTTATATAGTCTAGGGATAGGTAGGATTATAGGACCGCCCTTGAAAACAGATTTCGAAGGGTGGTTGCTAAAGACAACTGTATTTGCTAAAGATGTGGCCTTTGTAGTTAGAAAACTATTTATAGGGTCGGTAGCGTCACTTATTGAAACCACCCCTGAAAACTGTTTTGACTATTCCCGGAAATCATTTCCATAATAGATGTGCTAGTCGGTTACAAAGAATTTTGGCTTAAGTGAATTACAGAGAATTATGAATTAGACAATTTCTATCTATACAGACCTATTCCTTATTCACCAAGTCAGTGAGCTAGGTATCCCCAATCCACTCTCGTACTTGGCAAGTTGGCCCGGCCTACCCTTGTTGGGGTGTTAGTTTTGACCTTGGTGAAGATCGGTATACCCGAGGCCATGTAGTCGACAGTAGCCCGAGTTCTTCATGATCAAGTTTGTGGTCTCGGACACTAGGAGAATAATGTCCGGCGCAGCTCCAAAGTGCAGCCTCCTGAGTTCTATACTCATGGTTGGAGGAAGCTTGTCGTTCGCTCCGAAGGTGCCATCGAGGATGTAGTACCTATGGTACACTAGTCCCAAAAAGGGCTCAGTAAAGCATTCCAGCGAGTGCTGACTCCTTGTTGTATAACTATCATCCAGAGGAAGATTAGCTTGAGTTTGTAGATTATGATGATGGTATCAACTTCTCCGAGTGTTCGAGCTACGTCATTTCTCAAAAGGTCTTTGCCATCATATATATATATGTACCCTTAATTTATTGAATGTTTTTTGTCGTCGTATATTGTACAAAGTCATCCACTTCGCGATGTAAAATGAGCTTTGCACAGTGGAGCCAACATATCATCCTTAGTGAGTTAATAATGGGTTAGTCCGAGTGGTGCCCAAGTGCCCATCTAATGGCATCTCGACACAATGGGCCCAATTGGCGGGCACAACACTAATTCAGACTCATTCTCCTAAGTGATGATTACTCTTCCACAAGTAGATCAAGGGTTGTCAAGTCTTGTATGATGAGCATGAGTCCAAGTTTGAACTCGGTCACATACTGCATCATCTGAGTTCTTTGTGTGACTGCTTGGCTTGTGGCCGACTGGCAGCATGCTACAGTGCACTCTTCAATTCACTCTATTGTCACGTGGGTCGGTTGTGAACCTGTTTGTGGGCCAAGCGTTCAACCTCCCCCAAGCTAGTGCCGTGGGCGGTGAGCCAGAAGCTAAACCGTTGTGGCACATTTTATGGTGTATATAAGGAGAGAGATGAAGTATGGTGCAGCCCTATGTTTCCCAAAGAAATCTAGCATTTGGAAAAAACCCCGTCTTCCTCACATGCCTTTTTTCTCAAAATGACCATTGGTTTTGAATCCCCTACAACAACTAATATCCATAGCATTGTCTGCCATCCCCTAATCATCCACTGAGAGCTCTTGCTTCATGTATTGCCGCAGGCCAACGGCTGAAACACCTAGATTCGACACAAAATGTCAGATGAAGGAGAAGTAGATTGCATTGGGTGGACAACCGTTCAATCCGCAGATCATTAGATCCATGATGACAAAGGAGATGGTGTAGGGATGGTGGAGGACGGGACATGCAACTGATGTGATGTGCGGTGTGCTGCCTGTGGAGAGTGATTCACAACACCCTCGTCATGTTCACCCCTTTCTTCGAACGTGGATTTTGGGTGCCGGCACATCCTTTCTTTTATGGCTTTTTTTTATTTTTATAAGCTTCAGACGCATAACTTGAACACCCTAGTGACATTCAACTAGGATGCGATTAAAATTGGATGAAATAACAACCACTCTTGATACATAATTTTATTTAATTGTTTCATAACCTTTCCTTAGTATTTAATTCCATGACTCAACAATGTGGCGGATGTGGCGGCAGCACAACTTGGGCTTGACGGGCTCACTAGGCCATCATGCCAGTCTGGCCTGGCTAAGACAATGCAGGGCCATACCTAGGCCGAAGGCACATGGCCTGTGGGCAAGCTCGACATGACACGATTAGTAACAAGGCTGTGCTGGACAGACTGCTATCGAACCGTGCTACTTATTTGGCCACCTATAGCTAAGGCCAGCGGCCTAATCGCCATTCTGATCCTTCAATTTCTTGGTATGGAACTTACTAGTGCTTTGTGCTTGCATTGAGTTTGATACCGTGCATACAGAGCCGTTTAAGTAAACTCAAGTACAATTGTATCTAAACAATATAGTGCACTTAATATAAATCTCTCATCCGTATAGTTTAAATCATTGACTCCTAAATATAATTTGTACTTAAATGGCTGTCCTTGCTCGATCGTTTACGTACCAAACTGGACGTGAACAGTTAAGTTATCCCATGGTCGGCCGGGAGGGAGGGGAGGTAGTAGTGGCACACACGTTATGGCCCATGATTGGGGAGGGGTGGCAGTGGTACACGATCAGTGAAGAACTTTTCCTGTTTTTGTCTGACATTTTCCGTTTTTCTCTCTCTGGACACAGGAGATGGGACGAAATAATTTAGATTCGCTGGATCCAACCTCCATACAGGTTGGATCGAGCTTGATTCTTCACAGATACCATCTCGCAATGTGCACGTAGTTAACTACCGGTAGTTCCGCTATGTCCGGCTGCTAAATTCTTCCCAGTTGCCCTTTTTTTAGTAATGTCACGGTCAAATGGCCGTTTAAGCTGAAGACCTAGGGTGAGCGCTCCAAGCTACGGAGTTGTACATAATTAATTTCCTTGCTGCGTCCCTCAGATGAGCATGCTAGCTAGCTGTAGTAGTGCCAACTTTTGTACATACCGCTTAGCTACATTATCCTACCATAGCTACATGCTCGATGATAAAAGGGCGTACACAGCGCAGAGAGCTCCCGCTCTGTGCGGGGTCTAGGAAATGGTGTCAGTGGCAAGCCTTACCCTCGCCTGTGCAATGCGAGGAGATAATATAAAAAAACATATAAGGTAGAGACGATCTATATATAAGATAAAAATATCTTATTATAAGTTTCTGTGATGATATGGTATAAAATATAATATAAATCTTGTACATTATCAATTTCAGTGATGATATATATGTGACATATATAATTTTTTAAATTGTTACTTTTAATAAATTTATGCATTGTAACTAAAATGTTTAGCATATCCATATTGATAGTATAAACGTAATCTAGTTTTATCCACAGGCCACATCACCTATAATTCTTTGATAAGAAAAATCAACATATTGAGAAGGTGTGGGAGCGGTGTGCGGACCCGTGTTTTGCTACGACTTTACTGGTCTTTGAGATTTTTTTGGAATGCTAATATTCCATTGACCAACCTAGTCTATTTTTTTAGAATGCTAAATGTTAATATTCCATTGACGTTAGCATCACTACCCCATCCTAGATCTCACTACAAGCTCTACCACCGATCTTTAGTGACGTGGTGCAGGTTTAAACACTTCCCCAAAACCATCAATCACTGCCGATTGGAGACCGGCTTTCACCGCTGGGTTTCGATCTGCCAGTGGATAAACGATAGTGTTGACCTTGGCGTTTCATTGCTGACTTCTCACCTGGAAGTGATGCCCATTTTCAAACAAAAAATAAACACCGCGCTTGCGCCTGCCCACCGGCACTGAGGTGAAGCGAGGAGGAGAGCGGATGGGAGGAGGTCTAGGGACAAAGAGATGTGCCCGTGTCCTGCACCGGGGCTGCCCGTGCCCCTGCCTGTCACCAAAGCCGGGGAAAGGAGGAGAGCAGAAGGAAGGCTCAGAGGTAGGAGTGCTCGAAGCCTTGAACATGATCGGGAGAGTGCAGAGAGAGAGAGGATACCCTAGAGGGAGAGAGAGAGAGAGAGAAGGGAGAGAAAGATAAGGGTACAGACGTGATTCGCAAGGCGGTCCATTCCACTCCAAGACCCAAACAGTTTGTGAAGACGCAAGACTTAAGCCCCCTTTGGCACGGCTCATCCAAAACGGCTTCATCGGTGAAGCCAAAGCCGGTGAAGCCAGAAAAACTGGCTTTTTCCGGCTTGTAATTCATTTTAACCCTGCTTACAAAACGGCTTCACGCTACAATGCCTCGATTTGCGCAAAATAGATGAAGCCGAAGCCGGCATAAGCCGTGCCAAAGAGGCCCTTAGCTAGTAGCCAAGGACCAGCAAAATCCACCCTCATAGGCACAAGAAAATGTGAGCTAACTATAGCCTGATTGCATGCATGTAGCTGGGCAAGTATACGCATACGCACCGACGACAGCACAGCTCAGGAATGTTATACCCCTACCACGCACGTTCCACGTTGGTTGAGCATGTTACCATGACAAAACATACCATTTGCGCATATAATTGCACCGCTGGCGGCGGCCTTTGTCCCCGCGGTTAGCCACTCCGATCCCAGCTGGATGGGACGACTTCGCTTCATCAATAAGTCAAACGACCTCAAGGTCAACGAATGTCCGATCGAGCTGTGAGCTTCGTGGAGCTCACTCATGCACCCTACACTCCATGTAATTAACCATGTTATGCTATTATTGTCGGCTGGCTTGCACACGTCTCCATGTAACTTGACCCGGCCGGCTATATATAGGCATGGAAGACGGCAACTTTTCTTCATCCCCGGCCCCATCGCTCTCTCCGAGCTTACTTGCATTGCATGTATATGCCTCTCTCCTCTAACCAGTCTCTGTCGATAGAGTTAGCACTTAAGTGTGCACACTAGCTAGCTAGCTCGCTCGTAGAGCAGGAGGAACTAAGCGACGACGATGACGACGACCTCTAAGCTCGCTGTCCTCACTCTGTTTGCCCTGCTCGGCTCCGTGTCATGCCAGGGCGGAGGCTACTCCTACCCATCCCCGCAACCACCACCAAGCCCACCCGCGCCTACGCCCGCACCCCCACCCAGCCCAGGGACGCAACTCATGGTCGGATACTACATGAACAAATGTGGCGCTTACGTGGATGTGGAGGCCATTGTCAAGAAGCACGTCAAGGCCACTGATGCTGGCATGCAAGCCGGCCTTGTCCGTCTCTTCTTCCACGATTGCTTCGTCCGTGTAAGACCTCCATTGATCAAAGCTAGCCATACGTACCCTACATGCATGCATATAACCACTATATATAGTATTAATTAGTCACAATCACACAACACCAACACAACTTCGTCCATGCATGCGATATGACAACTAATGACATGTGATAATGCATATGGTTTCATCATCAGGGATGCGACGCCTCCATCCTCATCGACACCTTCAGCAACGACACCAGCCTGACCCCGGAGAAGTTCGGCCCGCCCAACTTCCCCAGCCTGCGCGGCTACGAGGTGATCGACGCGGCCAAGGCAGAGCTCGAGGCGGCGTGCCCCGGCAAGGTCTCGTGTGCGGACATTGTCGCGTTCGCCGCCCGCGACGCGTCCTACTTCCTCAGTGGCGGCAGCATCAGCTTCGTGATGCCAGCGGGCCGCTACGACGGCAACGTCTCCTTGCCAACGAGACCCTCCTCAACCTGCCCCGCCGTTCGGCGGCTTCGACCTGCTCGTCAAGATGTTCGCCGCCAAGGGGCTCGACGTCTTCGACATGGTCACGCTCTCCGGCGCGCACAGCATCGGCCGCTCCCACTGCTCGTCCTTCACCAGGGACCGCCTCCCGCCCAGCAACACCTCCGACATCGACCCGGCGTTCGCCGCCACGCTGCAGGCTAGCTGCGCGTCGGCCAATGGCACCGACAACACGGTGATGCAGGACGCCGTGACCCCCAACGTCCTGGACAACCAGTACTACAAGAACGTGGTGGCCCACAAGGTGCTCTTCACGTCGGACGCCGCGCTCACCACCAACTTCACATCGAACAACCTGGTGCGCGCCTACGCGGACTTAGTGCCCTATCTGTGGCAGAATAAGTTTGCCAAGGCCATGGTGAAGATGGGCGGCGTCGAGGTCAAGACCGCCGCCAACGGGGAGATCAGGAAGACGTGCCGCAAAATCAACAGCAGGCCGTGATCACTGATCAGATGGCCCGCCGACCTTGTCTTGTCCCTCCAGATCAAACTCTGATGACGCCTCAGATGAATGAATTGAGAATAAATAACCATTCTTTGCTTTCCGGACCTCCAACTTCCTAGTCTTTGCCATACATTCTCCTCTAATGCTTCTTCATTCTCTAGCTTTATGCCTGTTTTCATGGTGTAATTTTGATTGCGATAATATATATCATACCATTTTTGTAATTCACAACCAAATCTTCATGATCCGGTAGATCCATATATGTCACAAAATTAAAATTACGAAATAGATTTGCTGAAGTAGCATTAAGTATTAACTCGATACATGCTTAGTAGAACAACAAAAATGCATACTATATCTCTATTATGCAATACAGTATAAGGATTTAAGTTTGTTCTATGTTTTTTTGTGTCAACAAAGCATATTAAGTCTATGTCGATAATATCATCTTTGGATCAGTAAATTAATATTTTTGTAAGGAGAGCTTGAGATGCTCATGCTTGAAGAGTTAAGCTTTTTCTTGGTTTGCAAATCAAGCAACTTAGAGAGGGGGCATTTGTGAGCCAAGCCAAGTATTCGAAGGATATGTTGAAACTTGGTGGAAGATGTTAAAGCCCGCCCATCAAGACATCAATGCCAATAAATAGATTCTTGTTCGATTCTATCATAGGATATGTGAGAACAAACCTTTAATAATCATAGATTTGTTCCCCTTATGAGCACCTCCAAATTGTGGACTCCAACCAAGATTCTTATTAGGTATTTGTGGACTCCAACCAAGATTCTTATTAGGTTTTCTCAAATTCCAAAATTGATGGTGAAATCACACTACTACAGGATTGATTTTGTGTGGCATTGCACTTTAATTAACGGAGGCGGTCACAAAATTCAACCGCCTCGGAAAATACCAGACGATTAACGGAGACGGGTGTTTTCATTTACGGAGGCGGTCACTTTTGCCCGCCTCGTAAAATCGATTTACAGAGGCGGTCAAAACATGCCCGCCTCCGAAAATTGATTCACGGAGGCGGTCATCTTAAGGCAACGACCTCCAAAAAATAATCTATTTTCAGAGGCAGTTGTCTAAAGACGTCCACCTCCATAAAACTATTTCCGGAGGCGGGCACACTATAATGCCCATCTCCAAAAAGGCCGAGGCCCAACGGGCCACGGTGAGGCCCGATAACCGTCTTTGAATATGAATACATCAACTTAGGGTTTCTCATTCACTCCTCTTTCTAAGACCGAGCTCGAGCGCCGCCCTTCCACTCGCGAGTCGCGACTCCCTCTCCTCTGACACCGAGCCCGAACGACGCCCCTCCCTCTCCCTCCTCGCGACGTCCCTCTCCTCCGAGACCGAGCCCCAACGGTGCCTCTCCTCCCTCCCTTTCCTCGCGACCTCCCTCTCCCTCCTTGTGACCTCCTAAGCGATGTCCGTCTTCCCTCCTCGCGACCTCCCTCTCCCTCCAGCAGCAGGGGTCGCGCGACTCAGCGGTGGACCGAGGCGGGCTCCGCGAGCTCCGACGGTGGATAAAGATAGGTCAAGGCAGATCGAGCCGGATGTGGCGGCGGGCGGCCGGATCTGACAGCGTGCGGCCGGATCCCGAGGGTGGGAGGCCGGATCCTGGCGACGCGCGTGGTCTGGCAAGCCGCCTCGACGGCGCATGGATAGGCTCGCCAGGCTCGTGGATGGGCTTGGTGGGCTCGTCAATGGGGTTTTTTTTTTTTTGTTTTTTCTAATTGATTAACCGAGACGAACAAAGCTCCTACCTCTGTGGTCTACGTATTAAGCATGACCTTTCAATGGAGGCGATTGCTTTGCCCGCCTCCAAAAACCCAAAACGCACGCCTCCATGAAGATTATTGTTGTAGTGTCATAATCTTGTGGATAAGTGTTTTTGGATAAAAATAAAATATTCACTATATGTTGGAGAAGCTACACCTAAAATCTCACCAGATTTTTTTGGACTTTGTTTGGTCGGTTTTGATTTTGTTTTTGTTTTCTTGAGTTTATTCTTAAGTTCTCAACTTCTAGGGTTTTTTCATAAAACCTATGAAAAGCAACGTGGTTTTTTGGATTAGTTAGTGACAAAAATCTGGCATCATAAATTTATGACGCAATAAGGATCATCATAAAATCAATGACAAAAAAAATATGATTTTATCATAAAATGTGGTTTAACACGACGACCTATGACAAATAGGTTTTTTCTAGATGAAGCTAAGCTGTTTTGAAAAAAAATTGTTTGGCAAAACAGCTTCACCAACAACTTCGTGCATAGATAAGAGAGAGAAATGAGAGAGAGAGAGCTGGAATAAGCTATTTTTTCCAGCTTCATGCCAACTCATGTCTTTGTGGGAGGAGAATAAAAATAGCTTGACAAGCTGTTTTGAAAATGAATGTTTGGCTAAAAAAAAATAGCTCACAATAGCTCATAAAGCTATTGTGAGCTGTGCCAAACAGGCCCTATAAGATTTGTGATGTGATCAGGTCGTCATACATCCCCACCTTTCTTGTTGATCTTTTTTGGTATTCTTGTGCAAAAGAGTCCCCATGAAATTAGGAGCATGCATTTAAAATTTCTTAATTTCGGAGGGTCATCCAGTCGGATTTTTAATTTTTCTTATCTTCTCTCCAACATTGTTTATGGGAGCTGCATATGAAACGACCTGATTTCTGCGAAGGAAAATCCACAGAGTCTAAGTGTATTATGACCGTTGTAGATCATATTACCCAAATTCCAGTCGAATACCACATCCATACAACGATAATATCAGAGTACAAATAGTGCGGAATTACATAAATTATTACATCGCCGCATTGGCGGAATCAAAAGTAGCATTCATTCAGAACAGCTTGAAGATAAGATCGTCAAACTCGAGCGTAGGAACGAACCCCTCAACCGTCAAACTCCTCAGAGCTATACTCCTCAGCAGAACCTGTATGCCAAAATTTATCAATATGATTTGTACTGGCCACTCCCACCCTATGCGCATTGCTTTATAGAAATTGGATGCAAGTTGATATATTCAAAAGGAACCTATAAGGCTGGGGTTTCCTATGTTTTAGCATATCAAGTATATATATAATAATAGTTGGTCAAGTTTTAACACAATTCCCACACCCATTTCACCACATTTCTGTCCAGAGCCAGGTTTCGATCTTAGAATTGATATACCATCATCTCCACACCATCACCATACCATCGCTCAGTCGACAGGCCAACTCCCTCTTGGCACTGTCTCATGGCCCATAGCCCCTGGCTACGACCGACACTCTCTCACGGGGGAAGAAGAGAAGGACTCATCTCACTATTTAGTTTAAGCAAAACCCAGGAAAGGTCCATAGCCGACAGGTCGGCATATGTATCGATCGATCAACCATACACTCTGCAGAGGTTTTACATAACCACAAGATCCGTCTTCCTCGCTGACCGTCGTCAACTGGGCTGATTCTGGCTGCTTGCTAGCCTAGGATAATGCCACTCTACCATTTAGCCCTAGTACACCCAAGTCTAGTCTGGGGTGGCTGAAACTGTGAGTCATGAGCCGGGTCCACAAGGTCTCCATGAAGTCTCGGAAGGGTGTGGGGGAAATCCTCCACGCCCCGTACCTCCTCGCACTGTCCGCTATCAACCTAGCAGTAGTGGCAATATCCTACCAAGTAGTCCGGCCGTCCCACACCATATAGGGCGAGTGGTACGTAGGGCTTCCCGGTAAATCTGAGTACTAGTAAGTCCTTAGGGATGACCAAGCCAGAATGTCTTCATCAGGGTTTCCATTTACCGTGCCACCACAGCACCTCCACCCCGGGCTCCTTCCATCATAGGTTCATACCTAGGGCCACCTCATATACCATTTACCCACCACAGGTATCCATTTCCAGGGGTGCCCAGGTAGCACCCCGCGGCAAGACTTGCCCTAGGCTCGTCGTATATTCTAACTTGGTCGACACAACCCTCACCCTCCACGCACCCAAGTCATACACGCAGCACTCTCCCCATAGTCCAGATAACACCAGTTTCCACCACACATCAATGTAGTACAAGCATAGTAGAAGTAATAAGCAATGAAATATAGCAGCAAGCGTGTGTCTAGCCTAATAGCAGGGTAAGCAGGGGTAAGGTTGC